TGAAACCTACACTAAGTAGTTTTTAAAATCACTGCAGAATAGTCTGCCTGAAAAATTCAAAGTATGCCTGCCCTAATTCTGCTTATTCTCAATAAGACACTAGTACAATTTTAATTTTTATTTCCCTAATGCCTAACGATGTTGAGCACCTTACAGGCACAGCTGCCATCCATGTACCTTCTTTGGCGAAGTATCTGTACAAATCTTTTGCCTAATTTTTAATTGCGTTGTTCGTGTTCTTACCAAGGTTGTAGAGTGTTCTATATATTCTGGACACTAGTCCTTTAGCAAATATATACTTTGCATGTATTTTCTTCCTGTTAATGGCTTGCCTTTTCATTCTTCTAATAGTATCATTCAAAGAACAGAAGTTTTAAATTTTGATAAAATCTAATTTATCAGTTTTTCTGTGTGTGAATTGTGCTTTGAATGATACATCTACGAAATTATTTTCTAATTCAAAGTCACAGGGACGCCTGGGTGGCTCAGTCGTTAAGCGTCTGCCTTCAGCTCAGGTCATGATCCCAGGGTCCTGGGATTGAGCCCATCAGGCTCCCTGCTCAGCAGGAAGCCTGCTTCTCTCTCTCCCACTCCCCCTGCTTGTGTTTCCTCTCTCGCTGTGTGTCTGTCAAATAAATAAATAAAATCTTAAAAAGTCACAGAAATGTTCTCTTGTATTTCCTTCTAGATTTCCTATAATGTAGGTTTTATATTTAGGGCTATGATCCATTTTCAGTTTTTTTTTTTTTAAATATGAAGTGAGGTATGACTACAAGTTCACTGTTTTGCATATGGCTATCCAATTGTGCCAGTACCATCTGTTGAAAAGACTACCTTTTCCCCGCTAAATTTGTCAAAAATCAGTCGTTCATATAAGTGTGGGTCTATTTCTGGACTCACTATTCTGTTCCATTGATATGTTTGTCTGTCTTTTTGTCTTGTTTACTATAAGTTTTTGTCTTCAAATCAGGTAGGGTTAATCTTCCAATTTTGTTCTCTTTTAAAAGCTTTGTCTATCTAGATATTTTGCATTTCCATATGAATTTTCAAATCAGTTTGTTAATTTCTAAATAAAAGCCTGTTGGGATTCAGATTATAACCATATTGAATTCATATAGATCAACTTAGGGAGAACGGACATCTTAACAACATTAAGTCTTCCATTTCACAGACAAGGTTTATTTATTAATTTATGTCTTCTTTCACCATTCACAATGTTTTCTAGTTCTCAGTCTATATGTCTTACGAATCTTTTGTCAAATTCAACCTAAGTATTTCATATTTTTCATGCTATTATGATTGGTATTTTTGAATTTCAATTTCCAGTTGCTTGTTAACAGTAGAGTATAGGGAAATAAAACTAATTTTTGCATATTAATTTTGTATCCTGAAATCTTGCTAAACTCCTTTATTAGTTCAAATTTTTTGTAAACTCAAAACAGAGTACCACTATACATCTATTAGAATGGCTAAAATTAACAAGACTGATTATTACAAGTGTTAGCATGTAGAAGAAGTAGAATTTTCTTATACTACTGGTAGGAATGTAAAATTTTACAACTACTTTGAAAAACACCTTGGCAATTTCTTAAAAAGTTAAACATACATCTACCATATGATCTAGTCATTCCATTCCTATGTATTTACCAAAGAGAAATGAAAGCATATATGTCCATACAAAGACTTGTATATGAATATTCATAGCAGCTTGATTTGTTATAGCCAAAAACTAGAAACAACCCAAATATCCATCAACAGGCTAATGGATAAACCAACTGTGGGATATCTAATAGATGGAATCCTACTCAGAAAAAGAAAGGAAGGAGCTATTGATACACACAACAACATGGATAAACCTCAAAATTAACTGACTGGAAGAAGCCACAAAAACACATACAAACTGTATGATTTCTAAAGTGCCAACTAAATCTACAGTGACAGAAAGAAGATCAGCAAATGTCTCAGGAAGGCTTGCCAAGTGGCAGGAGGAAAGTTTTGGGAGTGACAGTTATGTTCATTACCTTGATACTGGTGATGTTTCATGTCAAAACTTACCAAACTATACATTTTCAACATGTGCAGTTTATTGAAATGTCATTTAGACCTCAATTTAAGAAAAGGTACCAATAAAAATAATTGTCACCAGGTACCAGAATATGTTTTTTATATTGGTATATAATTCAAATACCATAAAATTTAACAGTTTAAGTGCACAATTCAGCAGCTTTTCCATATATTGATGAGGTTGTGCAACAATCACTATTTAATTCCAGAACATTTTCATCATCCCAAAGAGAAATTGGTAGCCTTTAGCAGTCACTCTACATTCCCTCCAGTCCCTCGAAATATACTTAATTTCTAGATGACAATGTATTTCGTCTGGTCTCTGCAATCCAACCATCAAGACCTTTCAAGTTTAAGAGATTATTTTAAGTTAATTTCAAGGGACTGTGTAAACACTACTACTCTTCATCATTTTATTCTTTCTAATGAGAATCAGAACCATACTGATATAGACACTGATAATTTCAGAGATGTTCCAATCATAAAATATCATTTTGTATATATGTGTAATTGTAATACTGACTCCCACGTTATTACTTTTATTAACATATTAATTCGAAAAGAAGAAACTTTATCTTCCTCTTGGCTTTTCCTTATTATCAATGCCAGCTTTGGCTAAGACTGAACCACAGCAATAAATGATGAAGAGATGATGTCTTTGCAAATTTTGAATGGTATATAATCTGCAAAGGTTTAAAAATTTAAGTTAATATAATCTATTTTGAGATAATTCCACCATGAACTATATTTTCTCAATAACTATTCATCATTTAATATTTTAAAAACTTTGGATAAAGTCAATGCCTCATTGGAAGGATAATTGGTTTATACTCTACACTGAACCAACTCAGAACATATGATTGATACTTGTGTTTGTTTTTTTTATAAGGATTTTTTTTTTTTAAGATTTTATTTATTTATTTGACAGAGAGACACAGCGAGAGCAGGAACACAAGCAGGGGGAGTGGGAGAGGGAGAAGCAGGCTTCCCGCTGAGCAGGGAGCCCGATGTGGGACTCGATCCCAGGACCCTGGGATCATGACCTGAGCCGAAGGCAGACGCTTAACGACCGAGCCACCCAGGCGCCCTGTGTTTGTTTTTTTAAAAAGAAGATATCACCATTTGCATTACAGCATCTGTTTTTTCTAGAAAAAAATGACAGTCATAATCAAAATCTAGCAATTTTTTATTATGGGACAGTGTCAATGATGACAAATACACATAATAAACCTCGGAATAATTTGTGCCTATTTTTAATGATTCTATTATCCTACAGATTATTTTTGGAGCAAAGAAATTAAATGTGATAAAGCAAAAAATAAAAGCTGATACTAGAATTTTTACACTCCTACATTTAGCACATACTGTGAAAAAAAACAAGTGTTACTCACTGATTAAAAATTAACTTTTTAACAGACTCTTAACTATAGAGAACAAACTGATGATTACTAGAGGAGAGGTGAGGGGGATGGGTTAAATAAGTGATAGGGATTAAGGAGTGAGTTTAGCTGTGATGAGCACCCAGTGATGTATGGAAGTACTGAATCACTGTATTATACACCTGAAACTAATATAACACTTTATGTTAACTAGAACTTAAAAACTTAAATTTTTTTAAGTAAATATTAATTTTTATATACTATATTCCAAGCATACTAAATCACAAGTTAGATATATTCCCAATGATGTGCCTAAGTAATGTATTTGAGCATTAAAAACTGATATTGAAGTATCATTTTTGAAGGAGGCTATACTGCTTTAGTAAAAAATATGGAACAAGCATTACAACCTGACTATGTAATTCAAATATCAAAGATAGAAAAATTCAAAAATAATATGTAATGCATATCTTTCTGATATTTTCAAAGCATACCACCAAGAGTAAGTAGACTCTTGATACTTGAATTGGATATCATCAAAGACCTCTGAACCTACAAAGGTACAAAAATCACTAAACACATCCACTTCAGAAGAATTACTGAGTACCCAAAGAAAAGAAGAAACCCACAAAACCTCATTAAAATGCAGGTGTTAGTTCTATGTACACTCAGTAGCTATTCAAAATTTTGCCTGAAATATGAACTATATCATCATGGACCTTGCACATTGTTAATAGTCAAAACCATGAATGTTAAACCCTTGAATGTCAACAGTCTGTTTTAAACACTTGAAAGATGAATGAGCATATTAAGAAATGAATTCAATAAACATTCTAGGCATAATGTCAACATAGGATTTGTCACCTAAAAAAAATTTCTTCTACAGAAATGAAAATTAAGTTCACATGAAAACCTGTACACAAATGTTTACAGTAGCTCTATTCATAACCACCAAAAACTAGGAACAACATAAACTTCCTTCAATCCTTGAATCAATAAACTGTGGTAAAGCCACATGATATTCCACCAAACACCAAGTAACAAACAATGGTATAAATAAAAAGTTGGATAAATCTCAAAGGTATTACGCTGAATACAAAAAGCAGCCTCAAAAGTTTACATACTTTATAATCCCATTTATGTGACATTCCCCAAAATATAAAACTAAACTGAACCAATCAATGGTTGCCAAAGTTAGGGGAGGAGGTGAGACTGTAAAGGGAGAGCATGAGGAAATTTTGGGGGTGATGAAACTTATTCTATATCATGACTGTGCTGGCGATTACATGAATCTATGCATGCGTTAAAATTCATAGGTGTGTACACCCAAAAAAACGGCCAATTCTACTGTATGAGAATTTTAAAAATAAACAGCATTTCTAAGAAATCAACTAATTTTATTCACCCATTTTGAAAAGTGTGACAATGTTGTATACGGCCAATTATTAAATACATTCGTTCAGTAATGTTTGTTACCGGTGATAACAAAAGCCAACAAATCAAGTGACTGAAAAATCTGTAAAACTCTACTAATTTTTTAATCAAAAGAGGACTTACCAAGTTCATTAAGACTCTGAGCAGCTTTTGTTATCTCTCTACTCCCCCCTTGCAGTTGTCCTTGGAGTCTCTTAGTGAGATATAAGATGCGAATTATTCTCCGAAGCAAATCACAGGCAACCTGTGTAAACATCACAATAAAATAAGTGTAATCAATCCATGAAGTTTCATTACTATTATGATGTGAATCTGTCCATTCTTTCCAGATGCTAACGACTCATTCATGTCTTTTTTGTGTTTTCTACCCATCAGAAACCTAAAAAATCACAAAGCCTGGAAAGCATCATTTTACAATAAATTCCAGTTTATCCCAAAAGAAAAGATTTGGGGATCGAAGTGCTGTGAAGCCCGGGAACTCCTTTCCTCAGTCCTAGACCAGTTTTCTTCTCTAGGCCAGTGGTTCTCAGTCTTCATAAATTCAAAAGCATAGGTTCCAAAAGTTCCAAGCCCACACCATAGCCCTGACCAATTAAATCAGAATCTCAAGAGGTGGGAACTAAGCATCCTTTTTTTTTTTTTTAATATCCTCAGTGGTGCCAGTGTGCAACCAAGGTGGACAGCTACTGTGCTAGTGCTGCTTAGCTACTGCCTCTGTTTCCAATCCTGGTTTCTCTTTTCTAGGTCCACAGGGGAGCAGACTTAAAACTTCTCCTGATTTCACTAGACCTTAAGGAATAAGTATCCCCTCCTTGAATTTTCCTAATGGTTCTTTTATCACTAATAACAAATTATGAAAGTTATTAAAACAAAAAAAAACTATCAAATATACATGTCACCTCCTATTCTCTTTTCATCACCAGATGTAATATTTCACCTTTACCTAGCCAAAAGACTAAGACACAAAAATAAGACACACGTATTTCAGGACACTTTATTGTAGAAGCAGGATCCAGAGCAGTGGACTGAGGGAGAGACGGAAGAGGGGAGACTGATGGAATAATAGATAATGTAGTGACTTTTAGTATCAGTAGTGATAATGAAGAGAGACAGTCTATGCTGCTGCATTACCACCATCTTTATGGCCCTGAAGCTGGTTGAGAAGAACATCTCCCATCTAAGGAGGGAAATCATTAACTGGAGGCAGTAAGAATTAAAAGCACTAGGAAAAGAGTTGAGACTTCAGCTATAAACATTTTTTTCTGAACCGAAACACACACACACACCCGGACCCAGAACCACACATGCACCCACACAACATACAGAGACACACAAACATAAAATTTGTTCAAAAATACAATGTTTACAAACATATGTAAGTCAAAGGCGACTAATTACTAAATATGCTTACCTCAATGCTTTTTTTTTTAAGATTTTATTTATTTATTTGACAGAGAGAGACACAGTGAGAGAGGGAACACAAGCAGGGGGAGTGGGAGAGGGAGAAGCAGGCTTCCCGCTGAGCAGGGAGCCCGATCCCAGGACTATGGGATAATGACCTGAGCCGAAAGCAGACGATTAACAACTGAGCCACCCAGGCACCCCACCTGAATGCTTTTCTGAGTAACTATAGTCTAAAGCACTTACGATGATAAAAGAATGCCAACTAAGAATCTGTCCCTGAAAATTGGAAGATCTGGGCATCTTTATCTTTTCATTAAATTTTATTTATTTTCTGAATAAGTAATATAAGCACATAATTCAAGATTCAAAAGAAAAAAAAGTCACCCTCATATCTCTATATCACAAATATGCACTTATCAAAAACCACCACTGTTATCAGTTTCTTGCTTGTCAGAATAGTGTTTTTAAATGAACCAGTTGGAATGTTGAATCCCTAGTGATCATTCCCTCTGGGATTCTAAATACTTCATGAGGAGAAATACCAGATCTTACTTTAGTTTAATCACCTAGAATTGTCCTAGAATTCCCCAGTACCTGTCCAATAAAGGATATGCCCTCAAACATGAAATCTTTGAGCTTATTTCTAATGCTTTTATTTTTAACCATACTTCATCTGTCATCAAGTCTTATTGACTATTCTTCTGTTGCATATCACAACCGTTACATTATCTTTGTTCCTACAAGCATCACATAATCCAAATCTTTACCACCTTCACCTTCACCATGTGGTGTACCACTACCTTTCCAATCTCTTCCTGAAATCCATCCTGCTAGGTTTATCTTCTTAGAAACACAGTTTTCAGCACTCCAGCCCCCCTTTTTAATAAACTTCAGTGGCTCTCTACTGAGAGATTATGTTCAATCTTCTCACAATAGCATTTAATAAAATCCTCAGTCAAGAAGTCTTAGATAATATATAAGGCATCACTTACCACCATTTCCTAATATAGTGGCCTCTACTCTGGTCAATTTCCCTTATTTTTTATTTTGGACTTTTATAACCAAACTTAATACAAACATTATTCAGCACTAAAAAGAAATGAGATATCAAGCCAGGAAAAGGCATAGAGGAGCCTTAAATTCATGTTACTAGGTGAAAGAAGTTAATCTGAAAGGCTGTATATTGTATGATTCCAACTATCTAACACTCTGGAAAAGGCAAAACTATAGAGAAAGGAAAAAGATCAGTGGCTGCCAAAGTCTGTTGGAATGAATAGGCAGAGTACAGAGGACTTTTAGGGCACTAAAAATACTTTGTATAACACTAAATGACTGACATATGTCACCATACATTTGTCCCAAACCACTGAATGTACACCAAGAGTGAACCCTGATGTAAACTATGGACTTTGGGAGATGATGTGTCAATGTAAGTTCATCAACTGTAACACACGTACCACTCTGGGAGTTTGCGGGGAGATGGTGATTAAGGGGGAGGCTATGCATGTGTGGGGACAGGGGATACGGGAGACACCTCCATCTTCCTCTTACTTTCGCTGTGAACCTAAAACTGCTCTACAATAGTCTTTGAAATAGATACAGATATTACAAACACAGAAAACCACAGAGAGAAATTACAGCTAACTGAACTTGGAACCACCATGCAGATCAGAAGACACAACCATGTCAGCGACTACAGAAGCCCTCCATGTATGTACCCTATCCCAGTCATGACATCCTCCATCCATTCCCCTCTAGCTCTCCCATCCCAACCAAGAAACACTACTACTCTGGTTTTCGTGGTAATCACTTCCTTACTTTTATTTATGGTTTTATTACTGAAACCTAACTGCTGTAGTTTAAACATGCCCTTTTTTTAATCCATATAGGTTCCCTCACCATCTCTTACTTTTTCTTTACAATCTGCTAAGTATATTCGACCATCTGTCCTATACATTTCCCACAGGCTGGGTTTCACGGAATGCAGTCCCACTGTGCAGCTGAACATGTTCCTCTCTTGCATGTTTCCCATACATTGGCAGTTGGATGTAGGCAGCTTTGTCAGACTCAGGCTTAGGATTTGGGTATTTTCCTTAGGTAGTGGTGCATGTGCAGCACATGTGTGATTTTCTCTCTTTGTGTTGTTAGCAGTCACTGATACTCAATGTCAAAATCCATTAAAATATAAAGATTACTCCAATTCTATCATTTTGTCTTTACTTGCTAGCATATAAAATTTTCTATAAGAAGAAACTTTACCTTACCTACTATATGCTTACCTGGTGGTACTGTTCATAAAGAAAAGTAAAAATACTTGATTCTTTCCCTTGCTTCATCAGATTTCAAAATTAAACACTGCTTTCCTGATACCTACTAAAGATGAACAATTAGTGGGTTTGGTTTTGTTTGGCCTGTCAGTATGAACTCAGAGATTTAGACATAATAAAGGATGCCAAGCCACTTAGCTCTTACCCTTGCAGATGCTCACCTTGTCCCTTTGTGGCCAGTGGGAGCCTCTGAGGGTGACCAATGATACCAAATGCCTGAGAAAGAGGTTTCCCAGGACCTGGGACTTCCAGTGCTAAAACTGAGATTGTTAGTCATCCCAGAGGCTCTTTGAGTTGGCTCCTCAATCCTTTTGTCTTGACTCTAGTTAGTAATGGCTGATAGCTTCCTTGATATACAGTATAAAAATATTCCAGGATCATTTTATGTATTTCATGCCCTGGAATCAAAGATTTATCAAAGAAGCCCCAGTTTCTTTTAGAAGTCATCAGCATTTCAAGAACACATTCTGGGAACTAGGTTTGCTCATTTCTGTGACTTTTCAGCAGACATAGCTAAGAAATGTCAGAATCAAATTTTCACATAAATATTCATTTGCTTTATTCCATAATATGCATAAAACATCTTAAGATTAATATTATACATATACATATGTACAAAAATATATACATATGTGATGTATATGTCAAGATAAAATTAAAATACCTCATGAGTTCATACTGATATTTCCAATTAAAAATCAGGAGCACAGGGTGTTTACTTACTCTTCTAACTTACATCTGTACATTATTTCTTCCACAGAGACTTCCAGCTCTCAGAGACATGAGAAATTACAGAATTAGAATAATTTAAAATTATCCATTTGCTTTGCTGCACAACACACAGAAAACATTATCTCAATACAAAACCCACACTACAAACACAAATATGACAGCTGAAGATAGTTTATAAAAACATGTTTTGCACATGCTCTCCCTACATTTTTTTTTTTTTTACAGTTGAGCTTTGTCAAAACATACAGCCATTACATGAGATACTCCCCTTTATATCCTTCACTTAATCTCAGCTCTAATGCTCATCACCAGTCTTTAGTGTTTCTCTAGTCATTCTCAAGTACACTATCAGATTCCCAAGGAAAGATTCATGGGAATAATCTTCCCCACATTCTTCTTTGTGGATGGCTGTCTCTATACTTGAAAATCAGTTTGGCAGGTCTACCAATTACCTACTGTTGCAGAAAAAAAATCAACCCAAAACTTAGTGGTTGAAAATGATTCGTTAGGTCTCACAATTCTGTGGGTAATTTTGGCAGGGTTCATATGCTCCATGTGCTATCACCTGGGATTACTGACTCTGCTGCATCTAGCTGACAAAGAGGTTGGTCTGGACAGTACCAGAGGGCTTCACTCCATGTCTGGTGCCTCAGTACTTCTGCACCCATCACCTCCACATGGTTAGCTGGGGCTTCCTCACAGCATGGTAGTCTCAAGGTAGTTGGACTGCTTACACAGACAGTGGCTTTCCCAGAGCAGAACAAAAGCGGCTATGCCCCTT